GGTAGGGGATTGGATCAGGGGACGCAACTGCGCGAGTGATATTTTTTATACCACTAGTGTCTATTAGTTTATTAGACTATGGGGCCGCTTACCATCAGCTGGGCCATGTGCTTGTTTGGGTGGCAAACATAAAAAAGTGAAGTCTCGGAGTTATAAAATAGACTATTGCCTAGCTTTGGCTATGTTAGAGATACATTATGATCGAGCTGATGTCAGTTTGCTGAATGCCGATGGGTCTGTTAGTGGGCCCGCATGATTTCATTGTTATCGTTAAACGTCGTTATGACCCATCCTTCCATTTCTTTGTTCTGGAATTTTTCATAACATTCGATTTTACAGAAATCCATCCTTGAATCTTGATATAATTTTATTAGTAAAGTAAAGATAGAAATATGGCAGGCAGACAGAATTATTTTGTAAAAATTCAATTGTTACTGTAATGTTATATAACATACATCTATACTAATAGTATAAATGCGAAAGTGTGTCTGTCTGTCCTCCTCTCTTCGCTTTAACCGCTGAACCAATTCAGATCTATACGATATTTCATCTGAATTGGTTCAGCTCATTGGTTTGAGTAGGTTGACCAAAAATGCAAGTTAGTAAATTTGACGACCTCTGTGGCCGAGTGGTTTATAGTGGTTCGAAACCCGGTGGGGGCAGATGTTTGTGTGATGAATACGAGCATTTTTACTCCAGTCATGGATGTTTAATATGTATTTCTATATAAATGTACTTATATATGTACAATATATATATTCTATCCGTTACCCTAGCATTCCATAACACAAGCCTTACAGTGCTTACTTTGGGGCTAGGCTAATTGGTGTGAGTGTTGGAAATATTTATTTATTTATTTACACGCAGACAAATCGCTGGCATCCACTAGTTATACATATTTTTTATGTTACTACCTTCACGACTTACAATTTCTTTGTTTAATGAAGGTATGCAGGAATGCCGTAAAACGCTTGTAAACATACGTGTATTATTTTTAACTAGCCACAGCTAGATATAAATATTAATATAAAAATAATAGGCACACCCTGCGGTGTTACCCGTGGCTTATTGGGAATATTTTCCCGCAGTTAAACGTAGCCTATGTCTTAATCCAGGGTGTCAGCTAACTCAATACCAAATTTTATTAAAATCGCTCCAGCCGTTTAGAGTAGGGCGGGGCTGGTACTAACAAATTTTGTATTATGATTTATATTTTCGTTGATAATAGACTTTTTCATTTTATTTTTTATTGAAAACATGCTTTGGTTATGCAGCTATGATATTAATAACAAAAATCATCAGATATGTAAGTGCTTCCAGAAATCGAGCCATGAAAATCAAAAAAGTCATTTGTTAATATATACCCCGCATGTGGGGCGAATATTAACGGAGCTGGAGTAAGTATTAACGTAAGGGGCGATTATTAACAGAGACTAAAATTTTATCAAATACTAAAATAAAATGTCACTAACATTAATAAAAATATTTTATTGCCTTTAATGTTAAACAAATTAGTACTTTTTATGATAGGAACTCAAAGAATATAATAAATTCTTTTAAATCTACACTTAATAACCATCATTGGTACAGTTTGAATATTTTTAAGCCTAAAAAAAATTAAACACACAGTTTAAACTAATGTTTTTAAGTTACTTAAACTTTTTAGGTTCAACAGTCTTTAAGTTTCTTAATGAAGTAAAAAAAACAGTATTATCTTATAAATCTGTTACAAACATTTTTTTAAATAGTTTAAATATAATAATTAAATAATAAGGTAACTAGTTTAATCAGTCTTAAACTAATTTGTACTTAAACTTAGACAGGATATAGGTACTTCATATCAGGCAATAATTAATCAGAATACGATTTCTCATCATCTGAGAAACAGTTGAGGCATATGTATTTGTTGTAATTTCTCATTCTATAAAAAAACATACTTATTGCAAAAAACACTCGTTTAATATTACATACCTACATATGGGGTAAGTATTAACATATTAATACTGACCCCACTCAATTTGTTAATTTCAGCCCCAAGATCACTTTTTATATTTCATCAATTACAAAAAATAAACTAGTCAAAATAATTACAAACAAGTATAATAGTTTTAAAATCAATAAAATAAAATTCAATTTAGGATAAACTTTCATTAAATTTAGCAAAAAAATAAATCTTAAATCAATTTATTACGAAGTACAAAAAGTTTGTTTACCTGCCAATTCGAGGTTAATACGCACAACTATCACTAGCGACGGCCGATCGATAACTGACAAGTTAGGACACGTTCGGCTGTAGATAGTTATTCTAAACCAAGTCTCATTTTTTATCACTTCACGTTTGGCGAGAATAAGCTTGTTAATTCTTACCTCCGTTAAAACCAGCCCCGCCCTCCCTAACAAACATACACACGCACACACTCACAAACTTTCACCTTTATAATATAAGTGTGATAAATCTATGTTTGTAAATGGTTATATTAATTATCCCTATTTTGATTTTTACTGAAAAGAAAATTTCTGAACAAACATAATAATTAAGGTACCTGAATAAGGAAGCTAAAATAATTGAGCCCGGTAGAAAAGGCCCAGAGCTTTAATTTAAGCTAACTGTAGTTGAACATTCTAAATGGCTTCGCCTGGTTTTAATTGTAATTAAAATTTGTGGCTATTTTTGTTGTCCTCAAGGCGAGGAATGTTACTGACAGTGACTTAATTGTATTAAAATAAGCAGTTAATTCCCACAACAGAATAAGGCACAATTTAAAAGGATTCCGGTTATTCTGGTTCGCTCCATTTTCTAAAATAATTACTAAAGATTGTCTGATGCACTAGGGATAACGGCCTGCGCTGCGTTGAGCGGGAGCACGGAGCGGACGTCCGGTCCGTTCCGCGTGCAGTTTTTACGTCATTTCAAAGAACGGCGTTGTACGGGAGACCTGCCTCACGCAACGCTGCTTTATGAAATAACATGAAAAAAACACGCGAAGCGGACGTCCGCTTCGTGCCCCCGCTCTACGCAGTGCAGGCCCTAAACGTCTTACGTACTTTATGTTCTACTACATTGAATTTTTAGGTTTTATCCTACTAATATTTGTAAATGTGAAAGTTTGTATGTTTGTCTGTTCGTTACTCAATCATTTATACAACAAAGCTTGTAAAAAATGAATCCCTATTTCTATTAGTCACGACATAATTTGAGAAATTCTCTGCCGATTTCACCCATCACTTTGTAATACTTCTTACGGAAAAGTATTAAGAAAGTCTGAAAAGCTGCGTTTCGAGCCTAAGTTCCGGGTGCGACAAATGACATTTTGCACTTTATGGGGCGCAGTGTTGTAATGTAGCTGAGCACACCTTTCGAGAGCACACTGAATTTTATTATATGTTTTAGTATTCTATTTATGTGACTGTGTTTATTATATACTGTTACTTTATATAGTAATTAAATTTTTTATTTTGTGGGATGCACTTCACATAGTTATTTTAGTTGGTTTTCACGAACTCGCCCAAGTCCTGCCAGAATACCAGCGCTGATACAGTAAGAAAGTACTTTTTCACTGTGTCAGCTTAAGCTGAGGCAGGGTACTGATTGGCCGTCTCAGATTATTATTCTTTTTTGTTCGTTAGGTTAAGTTTTCTTGTGTTTTTTTAATTTTAATTTAGAAGTTTTAAGATGGCCAATAATGGTTTCATTTCATTTCAAAGTTGCGCATAACATCCACCTGATAGGTGACGCTACAGTCGGGTTATAGGACGTTTTTAATCGAAAAGGGAAAGGGAGGAAGAAAAGACGGAGGTTTTCAATTCGATATTGATGTGAGACATCTATAGGCGCACGTAAAACCAATGTCTGGCGAGGTGACTCATGCCGTGGCGACGCATCGCCATGCTATATGATGGTATACATATATATACACGAGGAGCTCAATGGTGCAAGTGGTTAGCGCGTTCGGCAACGATCGTTGAACTTAAGCAACTTTCACAGTGGTCGGTCATTGGATGGGTGAACAAAAATTACTATCTCGAGCTCCTCTGTGCTTCGGAAGGCACGTTAAGCCGTTGGTCCCGGCTGCATCTGCAGTCGTTAGCACTCACCAATCCGCACTGGGCCGCGTGGTGGGTCATGGCCCAATCTCCCTAATTCATCCATAGGGAAGGCCTGTGCCCCAGCAGTGGGGACATTAATAGGCTGATGATGATGATGCTGATGATATATATACAGTCTATATGCAGTAGGTAGTGTGTACGATGTGGCGTCGCCATGCGCAATCGTATTCGATTTTTATATTTAATGAAAATAAATGTTTATCAAATAAACAGTCATCATTTTCTGGAAAAAAATTGTAATATTTTATTATATCATTATGCCATATTTAGTTCCTATCGCAATCTGCTCTTTTCTGCATATTACTTTTATAAAATAATTAGCTGACCCGGCGAACTTCGTACCGCCATAAAAATAGGGGCAGGTGGTAGAAGAGAAAATTTAGGGTTGTATTTTTTTTAATACCACATATAAAAAATAAATATTGACCAAAAAAATGTTGCAGTGTGTAACGTAGTGTTCTATCAATTTCCTGGGATAACATTCCTCCTAACCCATATGAGAACACTACGTTACAATACCCAATAGTTTGAATTTTGGCGCGAAGGCGCATTGTAGGTTTCAGAACACTACGTTACAGGTGGACAACCCTTGTCACTTAAGGGTATGAAAAATAGATAGTAGCCAATTTTCAGACCCATGGAATTATAACAAATTGAATTTTTTTATTGTTGTTCGCGCATATTTCGAGGTTGATGGACCAATTTTTTAGGTATATTTTTGACAGGCAGTACAACGCCTATTAGGTCCTCTCATAAATAATTAAATACTTTTCCATTAATATTTCCCAAAATATTTTTATTAGCATCGTTCGTCAAAGTAATTATGCTCCGTTTAGCATCCATTATGTTAATTTATAACGCTCGCAATTAATTAATTAAGAAAACGTTTCCAGGTTGGTGAAGATGGTCGCTTCGTACCGGGCCAACTATTTCCACCAGAAGGTGTGTTCGCACTGTCAGCGGTTTCCTGGACTGCAGAGCTGGCTAGCGAGACCATCGCCCGATGGTGTAGAGGTAACAGACATACACACATTGAACGCATACCCATAGCTCACATACATAATTTCGTCACCCTGTAAGCACTCACACACGAATTCATACACTTTAACACACACCCACATACGCTATTCTATCACCCTGTAAGTACTCAGGCACACACTCAACACCAGATAATTACACGTACACAACATATAAAGAACAAGAGTTCCTTCATCCTCATAGTTACGAGTATTAGAGATTGCTACTATGTACTTTGTTTTTTGTAAGTCGGACGGAACGGCCGATCAGATGAATGGTGATCATGGCGCTTGCAACTCATAAATATTGGAGACTCACAAGAACAAGGTACATGGTAGCCATACCGCTAGTAATTATAATTTTAGTGACCATGAAAGTTTAAAACAATATTCCGTCATCCTTCTGTCCTCTCATATAATTTCGTTTGCTTCCTTCGCATTATAAAATCCTTTTCATATAGTTTCATCTGTTTTTACGCCTTTTGACATCAACTTCCCCCAAATAACTAGTTATTCATAAGTACTGTGTGAACTATCACATAAAAATATAATGTTTTAAAAATCTACTCTTTCTTCTCGGCATTGCACGCACGTAGGTAATAAATTTAAGAGTGAAATATAACGGGGTCAACCTCCCCCCTACAACGGCACTTAATACACTTAGCTCGGTGGCAGGCGACACTAATTGCCCGCTAATTATTTCTGGAAGCGCCCGTATTTTACGGTGCCTGCTCATTATTTATCATAGAGCAACACAGCTGACGTGGCCAGGCTGAGTATGCCTTCAAAGCTTTCTACTTTGCTGATTTTCCCCCGCTGTTGGGCTTGTATTGGGCAAGCTCACGTAATGAAATGAAATGAAAAGTCATTTATTCAGTCTAGGCTGTTACAAGCACTTGTGAAGGTCAAGAAGCTACGCCATCGGTTCCGATCAAGTCGCCAAGAACCGGCACAAAACTCAGCAAGAGCAACACAACGACAAGTCGTCAAGTTGAAAAATGACTTCAGAGATACTACTGAAGTCACCTTCCATTACATCATTTAGGATATAGATTTAAAGTTACAATAAATTTTATATTTAGTATATTGGAAGCGGCATTAGATAGGTACCATATTACTGTTACAAAAACTGACTAATACCCATATAATAACAAATTACAAGAAACACTATGTCCATGCATTACGATCATTTAGATAATCGTTAACTTTATAGTAGCCTTTATTCATAAGAGTATTCTTGATCTGAGATTTAAATTTGGTTAGTGGAAGCTCAATCAGATCTTGGGGAACTTTGTTAAACAATACAATACTACATCCCAGAAATGAACCTCTTGATTTTTGGAGTCTGAAACATGGAATGGCAAGCTTGTTCTTAAATCTCGTGTTTAAGTTATGGGTTTGACTTTTTTTTGCAAATGCGTCATAGTTTTTTCTTACATATATTATATTTTCATAAATGTATTGCGATGCCAGTGTTTAAATATTAATTTCTTTAATATTTTCTCTAAGAGATTCACTTGACTTTTAATTATATACGTAACAAAACTAGTTGCATACCGATATTTCATTACACTGATTCTTGAATATCTAATGGGTCCCGACTGTTAAAGTAGCTTTGTTCCTTTCTTAACAGAATGATAGACTACTGGACTTGTTTTTACTTTTCAGTTTTATATTGTAAGTAATATTTAAGCAGTCGGGTTTTTTGATTTTTTATATTTATCTTTTTTAATTTTATTTATGGGTAACTAATGATTATATTATGTTTATGATCATACTAAACTGTGCCTTGTGTTGAAATTAACAGATATATGTTTATATATATAACAATAATGTGATTTTCTCAAATAATGGCGTCAATATTATTGCAGCCTTGGTTTTTAATTTTCGCCACTCTGGCTCCTAGTTCCATTTTGGTTCTAAATTATTTTCTGCAGAACTTCAACCTCCATGTACCTCCATGTCCAATAGAGTAAATATAATAACATATAGTGTGAATTTTATTAGATATAAATATAATATAATAATTGGGGCGCATCTTCCATTTCCATCACAAATATCTTGTTTTTCTTTTATAACTTTTGCGCCCATAACTGCCACTTTTATTCCATGACTTTTGTGTATTGGTTTACCTAATATACAAGAATTATTATAAACTAAAAACATTAGATTTGATTTTGGGTGAATAATCTAAAATTTTGAAAAATCCTGAAGACATCATTTTATTTTTAGCAAAAAGTAGAACTGCATGTACAGTTTTTAAAAAATCGCCTGCCACAACCGGGAATCAAACTCGTGAAATTTATGATAACCATCGAAGGATTATATTTTTCCTAAGTAACATAACATTTTAAATTAAGAAAAGTCACGAAATTTGACTTTTTTTTTAATAATTGAACACAAACTACAATAAAAAAGAAACGGTGCGGTTCGTATAAGTATCGCTTTATTATTTTTTTCACGTACTTATAGTAAGGAAATCCTGTATTATTTGTAGTAATTAAATACTTTGATGATAACATTAGCTGTTGGAAGCACGGAAAAGTAAGAGGAAAATTTCCAGAACAAAATTTTGATTTCATGATCTTCCTTAAATTTAAAATTCTATGTTATTAAGGACAAAAATATCCTTATAAGTAACCCTTTCGATGGTTATCATATAATACGTCATGTGTTTTTTTTTCAAATTTCACGAGTTTGATTCCCGGATGTAGCAGGCGATTTTAACAAAAATCTGTGAATGCAGTTCTAGTTATTATAAAAATTAAAATGATGTCCTTTTTCAATAAAATATCCTATCTTCAATATTTAACATACTTTCTTTCCGTGTGAAAAACCCGTGGGACAGCCTGTATACAACACACAAGCTAAAAAATAATAATAACAATGATAAATCATTATCATTATCTTCAACAGCCTATCTTAGTCCACTGCTAGATATTGGCCTCTCCAATTGCACGCCACTGAGATTGATCTAGGGCTACTCTATGATCAATCGTCAGATAAAATAAAAATTAAAATAAAAATTGAGGATCAATATTTAAAAGCTATTATTGTCTAAAGAAAAGTTTTACTAGAAAAAAAAAACATTTGACATTGTGGGTTAACTACAATGCGAAGAAATGGCTCTGCCGTGCAGCTTAAGGCTAGGCAAATTTCAACGCGGCCATCAGGGCCGTGGTAGCATAATTTGTCAGTGCATTCGCCCGGATTGCGAAGGGTGCGGGTTCGAGTCCCGTCCGAGTGCTGGTCCGCGTGGATTTTTTAGATTCAAACATCTAGCAGTTAAATGCTTGAAAATAAACAAAAAAATAACTATTATTTCCTATCATGAAGCACTCCAGACTCCATAGCAGTATTACAAAATGTATTGTTACGAGCTCAGGAGATAAGTTTTCCTCACATGCATAACGGAAACCGTAAGAAGCGAATCAGTCACAATTTTTTATCATATGCAGAAGTGAGTGGCAGAGTATTTCATGCGGGAACGTATTGCAACTAAAAGAGATAAAAAAAAATCCAGTGCAATCAATCTTCCACAATAGAAAATATTTCGAGCTCGAGAAATTTTCGCATAATTCAGTACGAAAGACACTCGAAGTCTCGTCGCGCAGGTAAGAGAAATGCTTTAAAAAGCTCAAGGTATTTCTGATTAAATGAATGCCAGTGTTCTATTTCTAGAACTTTCTTTATCTAATTAGATGCAACAATATAATTTTAAATTCATGCCAGTGTTGTTTTAAGGGGTTCTCTCTCGATTAAGTAAATTGCTCTGTGTTTACCTGCCGAACACGAAACTTTATTGATATATTCAAATGTGTACTTAGTTAAAACAATGCAGGGCATTAAATTTTGTAAGCCCGTTAGAATTTAATTCCCTGGATCATATTGTCATCACGGCTCTTTATCTTTAGAAGGGTAGGGAAGCAAGGGAACATACTTTATAACTTATATTTATTATTGTTAACATAAATGTGAACGTAAATCTGTTTGCCTCACCGAACTGTAAATGATTTTGATGGAGTTTGACTGTCTAAATGGAATTTGAAGAAGGATTAATAGTGTAGGAAAGTTATCATAAAAGGTATCCCATAAATGTATTTTTAATGAATGTTTTACAGCTTTTAACAGCTTTTACTGTTATTACTATAGTCTCTTAGCAAATTTTCAGACAGACATGGCAAAACTATAAGGATTTATCGGAACCCTAAAAAAGACAATAATACAAGCAGTAGAAGGTTTGAAATAGGTATAAAAAACGTTAAGGCAACTTATTATTTTATTTAACGAAATCACCAGCTTGTAATATTATTTGTATGTTGTTCATTCATTCATTTCATTCACAAGATACACCAAGACACAGAATCAGACATCATACAGCACCAGAAAAATCATCGTGTTCAATTATGAAAAAGAAAAAAATTAGTGTGCTTTTATGACCACACGACTGAAGTAAAATTTCTTTAGCTCCATCTGTATATATATATATATATCTGTTTACATATAAATATATATATCTGTTTACAATATATTCATGTATGTACGTGTACATATTTCATTTACCAGCTATAAGAGAAAGAGACAAAGAAAATGTGCGCGTACTGCTTTCTCTTGCTTATATCCCCACTCAACTACCGTTCGTCTCGCCCAAACACACTTTTCGTAGTGCGTAACGCATTCGCCAGCCTACCTTTCAAGTCAAGCGTGCGTAAAGAAGTTTCACTTCAAAAATAGGTTAAACTCACTTTTTTTTACGCATTTAACTGCTAGATGTTTAGAAAAAATCCACGCGGACCAGACAGCACCAGGGGGACTCGAACCCGCACCCTTCGCAATCCGGGCGAATGTACTGACCAATTATGCAACCACGGCCCTGATGGCCGCCTCGAAATTTTCCTAGCCTTAAGCAGCAAGGCAGCGCCATCTCTTCGAATTGTAGGTAACCCACAATGTCAAATGAATACTTTTTCAAGTATTAAACATTTGAAAGAAGAAATAGCAATTATACTTATGTTTTTATTTTTTTAAGCATTTAACTGCTAGATATTTAAATCTAAAGAAAAGTTTTACTAGGAAAAATCCACGCGGACCAGGGAGCGGACGGGACTCGAGCCCGCACCCTTCGCAATCCGGGCGAATGCTATTTTTTTCTAGTAAAACGTTTCTTTTAATCTCACTTTGTTAGGAAACAAGTACCTAATGTTGCTCGTCGCATCACAAGAACATTAAACTTTCGAGGCGTGTCCTTATCACACATCTCCCCCTTTATTCAGTCTGTGGCACGTCCTACTGGAATCTTTTTTTATTATTTCACTAGGTAAGCTAACAAGCAAAATTAATGGTACTTTGAAAGATGTATGTACCCAAAAAGGAAAGATCTTACTGCTTGCTGGGTACAATGAGTGTAGCTGCAATGGAAAAAGGTTGAACGAATTTTGACAGAGTAACTAATTTTATGAAGAGTCCAAATTAAAATCAATCGAAGACTGAAATTATATTTTACTAGCGGCCCGCCCTCGCTTCGCTTCGGTGTAGAGCTGAAGTGTAGACTACAGTTTTTGTTCTCAGGCTTGTCTTATACACAATGACATTCGTCTATGATTCTTCTTATACCTGCATGCAAAGTCTCAGCCCGATCGGTTTAAATTGACAAAGTTTCATACAAACTTTCATTCCCTATTTTATCCCCTTGAGGGTAGAATTGATCAAAATCCACCAAATAATATCTACCTGCATGCCAAATTTCAGCCCGATCCGTCTAGTGGTTTGGGCTGTGCGTTGATAGATCACTATGTCAGTCAGTCACTCACCTTTGAGTTTTATATATGTTACGGCTAATAGTCCAAGTACGGCTACACCTAGTTTTAGCCGGCTACAACTAGGAGCAGCCTGCCACATGCGGTTAAAATTAGGTGTATCCTACTTATCTTCGGTTACAAGTAGATTTAGCCTTTATTATAGCTGCTAAAACTAGGTGCAGCCACACACCGGTGGTTAAACTTAGGTGTATCCTATTTATCATCGGCTAGAACTAGGTTTTCAGTTCAGTTGTTTTGAGATTCTAATTTTGCGTTTCCCGATTGATTCGATTACATGGAATAAATAAAAGACAGGGATGTTTAAGTGACATTTATTATTTATTATTTGACAGGCAAATATCTTTGAACAAAAAAAGGCGTTATTATAAGTTGTTAAAATAGAAAATATTATAAATCTTCTCTTCATAAACTAACAGAACTATCTTTGGTGCAAAGATAAAAAAATAAACATAAAAAATAACGTTTTACTTCTTAATTATGAAAAAACCAACTAAGTCTTTGTTCTCTTCTCTCATATTTTTAAAACAAATAGGATAACTTTTTAACTCAGTTTTAATTATACAAAAAACAACAAACTCTCATATGTGATAATATGTTGCAAGAATGTCTATCACTTATTTGAACAAGATAAACTTGAATGGCATTTGGAGTTACACAAAATACCGGCTGCTTTACAGAGGCACTTTCTATTACCACATTTAGTTTTGCAGTGGCATCTTTTGTATCCTTGTCCTCCAGTTGTAGATTGGGCATTAGCAATTTGGCATAATGATTTTTTTTCGGGAGAAACAATATCAATATCTAAAAATTTCGTCTCGCATACAGTGAATTGATTCCTAGAAAATAATTCAGTAATAGTGCCAAACTGGTTACCCAATTTATACAATCCATCATCATTACATTCAAGTACAACCATCAAAACATTAGGAAAATCGCCTCTACCTCTGTCTACGTCAGGAATTTTCACCCGAACTGTGTCATCTATTTTGCATGGAGGAAACTTTCTGTTAGATAATGCTGTCATTTTATTTGCTTGTACTCTCAACGAATCTTTTGCGCCTTTTCTTTTAGTATCTATTGTCTCTCGTTTAATGCAGAGGTCACATTTTTCATTTTGCTTACAAAGCTCACAATCTGTTCTATTTTCTGCTACTTCACCTTCAGTCTCTTCTTGGTTTAAATCTGTTATTGTCCCACTTTCAGCATTATTTCCGTCCTCTTCTAACGTCTTAAGAATTTTTTCCAAGTCTTCTTCGTTTTGTATATTTTCGATTGTCTCAGTCGGAAGTGTTGAAGATCGTAGGCCCACTTTTACGTCACAACCAAACATAGCCTGGTAAGGTGATCTTTTAATTCCGTGGTGATAGGCTCTATTTTTCATAAGTTGGACAAATCTAAGTCCTTCTGACCACTTTTCGCAGTTTTCGTCTATCATCCATGTCATCAGCATACTTTGAACGTCTTGATTGGTACGTTCGACGCTGCCCTGTGACTGGTTGTGACGAGGTTTTCCGTGCACAATTTTCAGACCTGGCCACATTTGTGTCAAACTTTCCACAACTCGATTAGAGAATTCCCTGCCATTGTCAGACTGGAGTATTGAGGGTGATCCAAATATGTCAAGGAGTACCTTCGATACTTCCTCAGCAGTTTTACTTTGTAAAGGACGTAGTTGTATGAATTTAGTGAGATGATCCTGATAAACTAAAATAAACTTGAAATTTCCACCAGGATTTGTTTGCATGTCTATCAAGTCTACCTGACAACGACTATTCATCTCATTAGACAAAATGGGTTTAGCGACGAGACCTTTCCTAAGTGATTTTTGCTTCATTTGACATGGCTTGCATAATTTAAGGTATAAAAGAATAGCCTCTTGAGTTATATTTGCATACTTTTTTTTTGTTTCTGCAACCATTCTGTTTCTTCCACCGTGTCCAATAGATACATGTATTTCATTAAGAATAGCGAACAATTCTTCATTTTTGACGTAATATTTAAGACTTTAAGAACTACTGGTAGATAAAGCACTAATTAACTTTTCCGTGTCCCCAATACTACACACATCAAAACGTTTCAAACGACGATATTGTAAGGTTGTACGTTTTGTTGCTATTTTTGCAGCTTTAACCTCTTCTATAAACGTCAAATACTGTTTACTACTCACATAACTTTGGTTATCGCCATGTTTCGAAGTTATAACACGGTCTAATTTTTTGTTAAAACTCGCCTTCATCGTTTCTAATGCTTCGTTTTCCGCCATTTTGTAACGGAGACAAACATGCGTGGCACAGAGCTGTGGTGATTCATACTGACTGACGGTTAGACGGTCACGGTAGGGAAGTGGCGGGCGGGGTGGGGGTACAAGGACGCGCGGCGGGCGGAGGGCTGCGCGCGGGCAGGTCCCGACGCCAACTCCTTCCCCGCGTCTATACCGCGCTGCCAACTTGACGAACTCTTTAGTGCCTACTTACTGTAGTTTTTACTATAGAGGGACTCTCCACATTAAAAGACGAAATTTCATTTCAGTTTATGATTTATGATCCGTGATGCGTTGTACGAGTATAAATCTTGTTTCGGACTGGCATGGTTTATGGCTGGTCTAGGATAAGATATCTTATCTACAGGGGTGATGATACAAAATCGAATCAATCAGGAAACGCAAGATACGAATCTCAAAATAAAACCAAAATCCTTAAGTAAACTGAAAACCTAGTTCTAGCCGATAATAAATAGGATGCACCTAAGTTTAACCACCAGTGTGCGGCTGTACCTAGTTCTAGACGCTATAATGAAGGCTAAACCTAGTTGTAACCGAAGATAAGTAGGATGCACCTAAGTTTACCGCATGTGGCGGGCTGCACCTAGTTGTAGCCGGCTAAAACTAGGTGTAGCCGCACTTCGGCTATTAGCCGTAACATATATATAGATTACTAGCGGCCCGCCCTCGCTTCGCTTCGGTGTAGAGCTGAAGTGTAGACTCAAACTTTCATTCCCTATTTAATACCCTTGGGGGTAGAATTGATCAAAATCCTTTCTTAGCGGATGCCTGCGTCATAACATCTACATGCATGCCAAATTTCAGCCCGATCCGTCCAGTAGTTTGGGCTGTGCGTTGATAGATCACTATGTCAGTCAGTCACCTTTGAGTTTTATATATATAGATTAAGATGCGTGTACATTACAGTGCGCTTCACAAGTCACTCTCTTACTGAGAGGGCTTTCTCACGGTCTTGACGGCAGTGTATAGATAGATCATATATCGTGCATCTACATAGTATAAACCATGTACTTTACATATGTAGTTACAGACTGAAGAAAAAACAAATCAGTTTTGAAAATAAAAAGCCCTAAGTCATACTTGTCAGTGTCAATTGGGAAGACGTAAGGATGTCCTATACATCCAAATCTGTTCACGCATTTAGAAGTTAAAGTGGTCTAAATAAATGCACATATAAACTCACAAACATATATTGAATATATTACACTAGTTTTCTGGAACAATACAAATGGAAAGTTATTTCTTCCCTTGTAGAGGTGCTCTTCGGCTCTTAAACTATTAGACGATATTTCCTCGACATGAGGTCTCACAGGAATTTTGCAATACCATGACAGGATCTTTCTATTTCGCAAAGATAAAAGTTTTAAGCTTTTAAAAACGTTTGAATGTTTTTTAACATCCTTAACCTCTTTTACTTATTAATTATGAGTTGAAGGGTCTTTGGATATGTGAAAATAGTTAATAAAATAAAATTTATATTATAGGTTTTTTTGAAATATCACTATTTTGTCATAATACAAAAATTGTTGCTAATATTTAAGTATGTAAAATTCAGATGCCAACCATTCGGTACGAGCAGGTACTTTATTTTTCATACTGTCAAATAGCCTTATAAGTTGTCTTAATTAATTTTGGCAGGTTTCTCGTAGAGGAAAAATACCACTGTATTGGATATTGATCCTTCCCTATTTAAGGATTACGCTGTCATAAATTCAGACAGAACAAGTCGAGCAAATTTGGAACTAAATTAAAGTATATGAAAGTTCTTTTTTGTAGCCAATGCTGATCGCGAGACGGGAGTACCCGTATCACAGATGGGAACCCCTGTACTTCGGCACACACAAGGACCCCTGGTATAGCGAAATACTCTCTTGGGAAGGAAGGCAAGATAAGATGACTCAGGTAATTTTGTATCCAATTACTTTTAAAACCATTTTCAACATAAAAAGGTAATTTAATGTGGATTAATAATGGTAAGTAGTCGCCTACTGGGATAAGTTCGACCTATATAGTACTTTTTATTTCAACGTCATCATCATCATCAGCCTATTAATGTCTCTACTGCTGGGGCATAGGCCTTCCCTATGGATGGAATAGGTCTTCCCTATGACCCACCACGCAGGCCCAGTGCGGATTGGTGGGTGCTAACGACTGCAGATGCAGCCAGGACAAACGGCTTAACGTGCTTTCCGAAGCACGGAGGAGCTCGAGATAGTCATTTTTGGTCACCTATCCAATGACCAGCCACTGCGAAAGTTGCTTAAGTTCAACGATCGCAGCTGAACGCGCTAACCACTTGCGCCATCGAGCTCCTCGATTTAGACTTTTTATTTACTTTTATTCATTATGTGTATTTTAAACGCATGGTAGTGGTAGTGTATTTGTAGTTTATGTGACTATTTTAATTTATTTTTTCTAATTATTAGTCTTTAAGTCGATTTTTTTCTCATCTAAGCAGAAATTACGGGAAATGAAACAATGGGATAAATTACGTGGCACATTTGCAAGCGAATTCGTGATAACGCCACTAAGCTACTGACTGTATGTATGATTCGCCACATCAAAAAACAGGAGAGAATAGTGGCGTTGGTGGTTAGGCAATTAAATAATAAATTCTTTATTTATTTTTCTTCACATAAGTAGAAAAAAAAAACATTTTCAAATAAAGTGCTTAGTTACAATATTTAATTACTTTATGTGAAGACTGGTGCTTGCAATAGTATAAACCTGTTCTACAAGAAACCAGGCCTCCACTCCCAAAACTACATGAACAGAGCAAGCCAACTTTGTACCATTTATGTGATAAATGTATTGTAATTGTAATGTCATTCTTAGAGTAAGAGGGCCAAGCACGAATTTTGAGCTCCGTAATCGTATCGTCATCGACAAAAATTGTATGGAAGGAGCCAGTTTGTTCTTACGCCCAGTAGAGGCGCTGCGTTTGACGATGCGATCCGGTTACGGAGCTGTCGCCATTCGTGCTTGAACCTAAGGTCACAACACAACGTAGCGACTCGCATCGCAAAAACGACGTCGCATCGTAATGTAATGCGATGACGCAACGCAAATATTTCATCACAACGGCCAGCAGCGCATCGGATAATTCCGTGATGCGTTGTACGACGTTGTAGAATTCTACAGTGCGACACGCTGCAACGCAGTGTTTTCGCTTTTAGCTACCGCGCGCGTTATCTTAAAATACCAAAAGGTCCTTACCTATATGCACAAAAGTGGTACTGTAACAAGCAAGCTTACTTTCGATTTCGTAAATTGTCAAATATTTATTATTGTCTACCACAACAATCATTGCGAAATTAAGCCATATAATGACGTAATGCATTTTTTTTTAAATGTCTACATTTGGAGCCATCTTACTATTAGTAAGTCTGATATTTTACAGAATCTCTTTACCTACTGTATCCTTTGCACGAACCGATATAAAAATTCGAATAGTTTAATTCAATCTGGAACGCTTCAAATGCAAGATTTTTTGTATGAAACAATTTTAATTCTCGTTCCTTACGTTGTTGTGGCGCTATTCAAAATATATTGCTCAAATTGGCCCAAATGCAGAAAAAAATATTGGCCTACCAATATAACATCTACCTGCATGCCAAATTTCAGCCCGATCCGTCCAGTAGTTTGGGCTGTGTTTTGATAAATCACTATGTCAGTCAGTCACCTTTGACTTTTATATACATATATAGATAATAACGGTCATTTTTATTACCTGTATTTATAACCAAACCAAAATTCTCATATTTCCGTTTTCCAGTACTCATTTTCTACACGTTTTACATGATTTATTTGCTAATTTTGTTTACAAATGTTTGGTTTTTATTCTAAGATAAGCACGGTTTCTCAATATCAATTATTGTCTGTCAATAAGGTCGAACGCTCTGAACGCATCAACAGCCAAATATTGAATGAAGCTCGCTTTCTTTTTTTTTTGTTTCCTCCCAGGCGGGGGAGCGGGTGTGAAATCCTCATGGATACCCTACAGCCGGCTGTAGAGTTATGTCAGACTCTTACTGACTAAAACACACCCGTGGGGGGTGCCTATGGCCTTAAGGGCCTTACAGGCTTCATCTGATGCGATCAACGATGTGATGATGCAGCGCTGCCTTAGTAAATACTACTGCATAGTGCGCTTAGAGGACGGATGCACCCTGATGTGCATCCGTATCGTTTTGGGACTGAGCGACTGAAGGTCTCTCAGGATCGGAGGGCGGGCAAGCTCGCTTTCGGACCTCCCGCCTTTTTATACCCTACCGCGCCGCCACGACCCGTGTCGAGCGCGGCAGCCGTTACACAAAAATAATCCTTAAAGCATGATTCAGTATTCACGTGCGACGGCGCGATGGCTTATTTCATGTATAAGTTTGGTGTTTCTATATCGATTTCTAAGTTTTTTTTTTATTGAATATAACTTTTTTAAATTAGGGATGAGTAAGCAAAGTAAGAGTAAACAAATATGATCAGAATGCTCCGAACTGCTAAGCTATCGGGAGTTACACGTGTTATTGTGAGTCAACCATAAATGATGGACATATGCTGTTGCGGAATATTTTCTAGAAAATTTTATGTAGAATATTTCCGTCATACATGATTTCTATGTAACTTTAACCATTAAGGCTGCACACGCGACGAAAGCTTAAAAAATGGAGTAACTTCTCCCGTTTTCCCAACATTTCCCTTCACTACTCTGCTCCTATTGATTGTAGCATGATGAAAAGTATACTATAACCTGCCCAGGAGTATGAGGAATAATTGTACCAAGTTTCGTTAAAATCCGTTGAGTAGTTTTTGTTTCTATAAGGAACATACACACAGACAGACAGACAGACAGACAGACAAAAATTTTACTGATTGCATTTTTGGCATCAGTATCGATCACTAATCACCCCCTGATAGTTATTTTAAAAATATATTTCATGTACAGAATTGACATCTCTACAGATTTATTATAAGTATAGAAGATGGTAGGCTTCATCATAACGTCTATTGCCATACATTTTTCGCCAAACACCTCCATAAACACATTATAATCTGTAAATATGTTAGACTTTAAGGTATCTATCTATGGGCCTACGTTTCCTGACTATAAATTAATAGATAAATAAAATTATAAGGTGTGATATACTAAAAATCTATAATATGGTTATCTTAAAAACATAATAAAAATAATGAAGCTACTGAATATATGGCTATAGAACCTAAATCTCTTAGCTTTCTTTGGTTAACGAGAGTTTAAAAATTCTCTCTAATCTGTGGCTCATTCACAATCATCACACAGTTTCTGTCACAGAGTACCTTATTATAACCGGAAATGACATCTGATTTTAAAAGTTACTCTTATGCATTAACTTTTAAAAACAGGCAACTATCTGTTAATCTACATGCTCTGTATACCTGAATCTAATCCATAATTTCGGTACTTGGCTTGATTTCCCTAGTTTACTATATAACTTATTTGTTTTTTATTATTTTAATATGTTCAGTGTATATGGTATATAGAAGTTCTCAGGGGTGTCCGTCAATAATATTCGTTTCTACAGTAATTTATATATAATTTCGAATCTAGGAAACATTTTTCATGATTATTGGTCTTTAGGCCAAACATGTATGGAAGCTGAGCAATCTCCTTTCCATACAAAACTTTTTAAGTTTAACGCGTATCGAGATCGAATTCAATTATCCGAATTCGATATTGGTTCGTGCTAAGGGTCCACATCTTTAAAGAAACAACGCCCAATCTCAAACCCCTCGCGCAATGCAATTTAAATTCGGTTCTACGTCCGCTGTTTCGTCGTGACCGTGCCCTTAGCGTGAGGCGAAAAAGTTTTCTGACTTATCACTTCCTAGCGTCCTTAGTCAAAAGCAAGTTCCTTAATTCCATTTAATAGAGAAAAAAAAGTTTCTCTCCTATTTATTAATCAGACAAAGGGGAGTTGGTATCGTTAGGGAACTTCAATGTGTTGTTAACTAGCTTATAGGACGCACGTGCGTAAAGCCCTGACTATATTATAACTAACTTTGGCTGTTTGGCCAACTTCGTTAGGTCTTCTACTAGATTATTGTCGAAATTCGGAATTAATACTTGTATAACAATATAACATTTATAAGCCCTATTACAATACCGTGATTAAACGAAGCTTTATTAATAACTTATTATAAGTAGGTATATTAAATCCAGTTTTTGTTTCATTTCATCATCATCCTCATCAACCAATTAATGTCCCTATTGCTGGGGCACAGGCCTTCTTAAAGCATAGAATAGGGCCGTGACCCACCACGTGGGCCAAGTGCGGATTGGTGGATGTTAACGACTGCAACAGATGCAGCCGGGACCAAACATTTGACATGCCTGTCGAAACACGGAGGAGTTCGAGATAATAAGTTTTTTTGTCACCCATCCAATTGTGAAAGTTGTATAACTGTCACGACGTACCATCAAGCTCAGGGTCTATTAATAATTTATTATAAATACAATGTTTTGTTTCGTTTAATTTCGTATCAACTCTTCATCAGAAATTTGTTGGTTTCTGTGAAACAAACTACTTATGTTGTGACAACTTTTAAATAAACGAAGCAAGAAATCGTAGAGATGGTATCTCTACGCAAAGAGATATGAGAATGGAAGATATCAAAAAGTTGTGATTGATTTCCAACTTCTTGTTGAGCAAGTTCCTCTTTCGCCGCATCCAACGCTGGAGAAATTATTCTGCGTATAACTTTTTATTCACCGAGTTCTTTTCATAAATTATAATTTATAAAAAGAACGAAAACGAACGAAAGAAAAGGATATTTATCCTTAACAAAATATTTTTAATGTAAAAAGGATAACATACAAGCATATGGAACGCATAATGGTACGCGGACGATAGCGATGACCATCTTTGGACTGGAAGATAAAGGGAACCTTAGGGATGTGGGAATATGCAATATTATTTTGTCTCAACCAACTTCAAAAGTAACCCTTAAGCTGTACAACTTAATTATAAAATTGTTTAGTATAAGGAATAGTAATAGTTAATTAATAGTATATTGTAAACACTGTAGGCTGACATAGTCGCCCAGCGACTTAAGCCTTTAAATATAGATAAAAAATAGCATCATTCGCATGTTAGTTACCTGACCCCATCCTCTATTCCGTGTAATTGTAATTTTTTACTAGAAAAATAAACTTTAGATTTAAAAATCTAGGAGATGACTGCTTAAAATAAAAATATATTAGGAAAACCATTCCGGTCAACCATTTCGGTGTGATGGAATTGCATAAAAATAAACTCCTACCCCCTTATTACTAAACAAGGAATAAGTTTAGACTAGTTACGCCGTGCTTTGATAATGTCACTCAAATGCCATTTGTCATTGAATGGACAGAGACAAAACATGGAATAACAAATCCAAGCTTATTCTTCGTTTATGTTATAGCCCAATGGGGCTAAAGTTTGTACTTTAACTAACAAACTTGAAAGTACTAACACCAAAAAGTATGATAAGCTCGAGACAGTTTTAAGTATAGATGAACTCCAACGCTTGGGGCAATTATCAAGGTAGCTCTTTTACGGTTTGCCAGAACTTGGCAAATGCCTACTACCTTCGTAATATAATTTAAACTCCGTCGAGATGACACGGGATAGAAATACAGCCCTTCATCTCGGTTGAAGGGTCGATCGGGAACTTTTGGGCTTTCATGTTTGTGTTTTTGTTTTTTGGCACTCATTTTCCCCATGATTGATTTACGAGTTTATTGGATTCAAATCATGATTTTGTTTGTGACGACAATATTGGACGTTTGTTGGTTCCATAAATCATCTCTTTAAAGATCAATATCTACCTTCATAATATTTGAGGTTATTCCAACAATTTGTTCTGGTTTGAAGTTCAGCCAGATTATATGCTAACTACTACTAGATAAGATGGGAAGTTTGATTGATGGGTACAACTTATAGTGGGAATCCTCATAGCATAATTTTGATAATTTTAATGATGTTATTCTGGGGCTGTAAGCTTTTCTAATTATTATTATGATTTTATTTCTTTTAACTATTACTTGATTTACATCATCATCTACCAACGATAAGTTTGCTGTTTTGAGATCTCCAACTTGATATAACGATCCTATCGCTGTAACTTTGTTCAAGATTGCATTTGGACAACTTATCGAAAGAATCCAGAATTCAGTGTATTGAGGATTCCACGCAACTAGCCAGACGATCCTTTTTAGTATTTATACCAAAGTTTCTTCTTTAAGTCTTTTAATATATTCAGTATTATTGAAGATGTTCGAAAGACTGTATGAAGCAATAGCGATTATGATTTCGTCAACAACGCCGAATGGGCGTTCATTGGTCACATGCCAGACTGTTTTGTTGTGATTGGCGTCTCGCATGTGATCAATGAACAAATTGACGTTTTGTTTGCGCTGATTTAAAATATAATTTGATTTTGTAAATTATCCCACCCGGGTGAGTCTTCCGGTTTTCCCCATACATTAAAGGAGTATTTTAAAGAGTGGCAAACATATTAGATTTTTTTTGTACGTATACGATGATATGTTGGACTGGCGCAGTGATTATGCTATTATTTTCTACCAAAATCTATGAATAGCATTCATATTCACGTATTTAATGGAAATTATATTTTTAACTTAAGAACCTACAGTGGCGTAGCGTGGCTTGTATTATACACAATGAATTTCTTTATATAATTATAAACCTTTCATGAAAATTTATTTAACTGATAGTGATTTTTTTTGCATAGTTTGGGACCCGTCGGCGTCGTACCGAATGCACCATTTTTTTGGTTTAACGCGCAAATCTCAGGAACTAATGGTCCTATTTGCAAATATCTTTTTGTGTTTGATAATGCATTTATTGAGGAAGGCTAAGGCTATATAGTATTACGCTGCGACCAATCAATCAATCAAGAAAAATCATGTACGACGAAATTGTTTCTTTAAAAGTTTTATAAAAAAGTCCACGACAGCATATGCCCATCTTTTAACTTTGACTCACTATAACCTTTTTCCTCAAATTATCGTGGGTGAAACCGCAGGGGACCTATAGTTGTGACATAACTGTAATAGTTAGACATATAATATTGCGGACTTTTTTCTAGACATTTATATCCTCTATAAAACTGTAGTACATCATCTTCACTTTGCTCTATTGTCAATGACATTCGCACGTATGCGATATAAGGTTATTTATTTGTATTTTTTTCACACATAAGGTTACATCATCGAAATTTCATACGGAAACCTAACTTTTTTGAAAATACTCTATAGTCTATGTTCATCGTGAATAATGTAGGATTATAAATGTGAAAGAATTTTTCAAATCGGTTCAGTAGTTTCGTATCGTAGCCTTTTCAATACAAACAAACAAACAATCAAATCTTTCCTCTTCATAATATTGGTATAGATAGATAATTAAAATTTTACATTAATATTATACATGCCTCTATGACGCAAAACTTTTGTATTTTACAATCTTGTAAACTTTATGACTTTAAAATATAATTTTAATGAGGTAATTCTTCGAACACTTAGCTATTATATCAAAGCTAGTCATTTGGTCAAAATTACTATTTTTTTTAAACTTTGATGTCCCAGTAAATAACTATTTACTACACGTCATGAATGTATATTTTGTCCTGTCACACAATGCTCGAGATGAAGGGGGTGAATTAAACATGAAATTATTTATAACATTTAATTATTAAAATTTCGGAATACTGTTATAGTGCAACTCGGCATTTTGAAGCAAAAAATGCAACATGAAACTCGGTAATTGACGTGCGTTTTGCTCAGCGTCGCATTGAACATTAAATGACGGGAAACGACTTAAACCCCACCTGGTGGGAATTTTTTTTCATCGCTTCTGCGCTGCCACGCTCTATCTACAGAGTAAATAATCAAAGATTGACACATATTTATAGTTTTTTAACAGAGACAAAACATACTGGTTCATGTCGGTCGAATTGAAGCGCCCGTCTGAGGAAGTAGCGTCCACCTTACTAAAGATAACAGTGAAATAACACTCACTCTTGGTGGTGTTGGTGTTTCTATCGATGAGTGAGGTTCCAGGGCTCCACGGGGTAGAGGAGTAGGGTTGGGTAGACGGGGTTTCGGGTAGGCAACGGCGTTAGTGATACCCTGGTACCGCTTATCATCAGGCATATGCTGGTTTGGCATCCTTTTTACTTAAAAAAAGCTTGGCAAATCTCTGAAAGAAAAATGTTATAGCTTGTCCAATACCTCTCGTTTAATCGCATATGATTGTGAACTGATGACTTGTTTTGTCCAGATGCTGGAGCTGTGCCTTCAGGAGTACCGCATGGTGGTGATAGATGGTGGATTCTTGTGCCACGCTGCGGTCCATAAGGCTGGTACTCATCACACGCGCGCAGAGAGAGCTAACACCCAGCGATACATGAAAATCATCGGGGCTCTCAAGCAAAAGTACAGGGACCGACCTCAGTGTAAAGTTATGTGGGGCTGTACAGCCACAACTCAAAGATAAGCTGAAGAAAGTGATAAATAAAGTAACATTTGATTTCGTACGCTTTAGCGTCATAGCACACACATTTTCAACTCGGAAATTGAACGATACCAACTCGCCTTTCGCTTTGCCATCAAACAAGCGTATATCTAACCTTAACGTAAGTATGTAACGTAAGCGGAGAAGATTGGCTACGGCTAGGCGACGCCACGCGACGCCTCGCTTATGGCTCTCCGACCTTTGGTTGACGACACCAGTTCGATCAGTCTTAGAGAAAGTAACCACTGTGTTAATTATTTAAAACTGAGTATAGAGTCTGTTGAAATGTCTGTTATGACTATTAGTCGTAACAGACACTTCAACTCGGTAAGGGATCGTCACCGTATCAACTCGAGCCATTCAGTATTCTTTGTATGAAACTCCCTACTGCAACGCACACTAGTCTCGGTTTAAATGGTTAACGTAGTGGTTGCTTTCTATGTGACTGATCGAACTGGTGCCGCCTAGTCGTCAACCAGCGGTCACGAGCCTTTTTTTTTGAGTGTGTATGCTGTTGGTCGCAGATGACCTTTACAGAGTCAAAGTGTGAGATCCTAAGGGGACCTCAAGCCGAGAATTAGCGAGTGCCTCTAGAGGTATTCCAGGCGGATGGCATCTCCCCACGGGGGAAGTCTCCTCTCCGTCTGGAGCCACTAGACCACTCGAATCTGAGGGGGTGGTCGGCGAGCCGTAAGCGCGGAGTGTCGTCTAACATACGGATCACATAGCTGATCCGAAAGTACTGGAGTTGCTTATCCGCTGACGTAACAAGCTTACGTTAGGTAGACGCCTTTCCGAGTTGATATGTGCGCTATGTAGGGATTGCAATCCGAAAAAACGGATCCGGTAATCCGGCGGACCCGGCATCATTAAATGTTTACTAGATCCGGTAGCAATATCCGGTAAACGGATCTGATGATAGCAATGTTTGGAAAAATAATAGCGCAGTTGAATGAGTACGTACTTTGTTTTAAACTTTCATGGTCACTAACATTATAGATATTAACGGGATTGTTACCATGTACCTTGTTTTTTATGAGTCTCCGATATTTCGGCACTGTTGCAAGCGCCATGATCACGGAGTAACTGAAGTAATTGCGGGTAGATATTATTGGCAGACATATCGGTCTACCCTCTGACGTCGTCTTTTACTGCGTTCGATACTACCACTACCATTGGTCACATTCTCACTATTCACTCGCATTTGTTCCCGGCACACAATACTCACAGTATCAGATCGCGGAACGACACTTTTTTGATTTTTGCGGTTTTTACACATTCGAACCACTGGATTCCACACACTAGACAATTTAAACCCATCCTTACGATTGAAATTCTTGTGTTTGGTTATTTCAATCGCTTCCCTGACCAATCTTGGTATGTAGTGGCGTTCTGTCGAGATAATTTGTGGCTTATGGAGCTCAATCCAGTGATTAGGACCCGAATCAATTAAATGTTCCGCGATGGCTGATTTTTGCGTATCATTATTTCTGACTGCTTTAATGTGTTCTTTCATTCGGCACGCTATTGTCCGCTTCGTTTGGCCAATATAAGAACTACCACAGCTGCAGTCGATCTTGTATACACCAGGTTTCTCCAAGGGGAAGTTATCTTTAGGAGACCGTAGAATCTGTGATACTTTTTGTAAAGGAGTGAAGACAGTATTCAGTGAGTACTTATTAAGTATGTTAGAGATCTTGTCTGTCACTCCTTTGACATATGGCAAAAATAGTGGTTGCCTGTCTACTTTGTGTTTCTGGTGTCTTAATTTGTGTTTGGGTGGAAACTTTCCCTTGTATCCGTTATTCTGTAAGACCTGCCGTACATGCTCCAACTCTTCGTGCAGGTGTTCCTTGTCACATAAGTCATATGCACGGTTCGTCAGTGAAGTGACTACAGAATTTAGATGTTTAGGGTGGTGATGCGAGGAGGCGTTGAGATAACGGTCTGTGTGTGAAGCTTTGCGGTGAATGGAGTGACTCAGCGAACCGTCATTCCGCACTCGAATCTTTACATCAAGAAAGGCCAGACTTCGGTCTTCTTCCATCTCATATGTGAACCGCATTTTGGTATGGACTCCATTCACATTTGCCAAGTGTGCCTCGACATCTTCTTTGTTTCCTCTCAAAACACAAAATACGTCATCGACATACCTCTTCCATAGTGCAATTTCTGTGGCGGTGGCGAAAGCTTTTTTCTCAAAATACTCCATCCATATATTGGCTACTACTGGAGATACCGGACTGCCCATTGCCACCCCATCTATTTGGAGGTAGTACTGACCTTGGTATATAAAGAAGTTCGTTGACAAACAATGATGTAACAACTTGGCATATTCTGTCGGGATGCCATTGTCCTGCAACTTCACCTTTACTACTTCCAGACAGTCCAACACAGGTACATTTGTGAAAAGTGATTCCACGTCGAAACTAACCATCAACTGATTGTATTCCACCTTGTTTTGGTGTAAGATTTCCACGAAATGGCGGGAATCCTTTACAAATGACGATGTTCGTCCCACTAACGGCTGCAATATTTTTGCTACGTGCTTGGCCAGTTCATACGTAGGTGAGTCTATCTGACTCACAATCGGACGTAGCGGCACATTCAGCTTATGTATTTTAGGCAGACCATATAGTTTTGGAGGTTGGACGTTTCTAGGACGCAGCAAATATTTGACGGTGTCGTCGTCTAGAGCGTAGGCACATTCTTTTATAAGTGAGCGAGTGCTTCGATCAGTCCTCGCCGTTGGGTTGTAATTCACCTTAATATACGTGTTTTCATCAGTGAGTAGACTATGAATCTTACTTTCATACTCAGTGATGTCCATTATGACTGTCGCATTCCCTTTATCAGCTTTAAGTATTATTATATTCTTGTTCTTTCGAAGATCTTGTAACGCAGCTGATTCGGAGGAAGTAATGTTCGGTCTTGGTGGCTTCACATGACGTAACACCACAGCAACATCTTGTCTAAGTGTATCCGCATCGATTGCTGGTATCTTGTTACGCATGATCCCTTCTTCAACTTCATTTTTGCGGTTTTTACACATACGAACCACTGGATTCCACACACTAGACAATTTAAACCCATCCTCACGATTGAAATTCTTGTGTTTGGTTATTTCAATCGCTTCCCTGACCAATCTTGGTATGTAGTGGCGTTCTGTCGAGATAATTTGTGGCTTATGGAGCTCAATCCAGTGATTAGGACCCGAATCAATTAAATGTTCCGCGATGGCTGATTTTTGCGTATCATTATTTCTGACTGCTTTAATGTGTTCTTTCATTCGGCACGCTATTGTCCGCTTCGTTTGGCCAATATAAGAACTACCACAGCTGCAGTCGATCTTGTATACACCAGGTTTCTCCAAGGGGAAGTTATCTTTAGGAGACCGTAGAATCTGTGATACTTTTTGTAAAGGAGTGAAGACAGTATTCAGTGAGTACTTATTAAGTATGTTAGAGATCTTGTCTAACAAGGTTGTCATAAAAAACAAGGTACATGGTAACAATCCCGTTAATATCTATAAAGAGTACGTACTTTAAATGCATTACACTTGTTGAGCATGTGTGTTGGTGAATTACTTGTCTGCTATTCATGATTAATTGTTGACAATATAGCCGGAAAGTAAAAAAAGCTGAAAGGGTCTTTTCAGTCGCAGGCCATTGTAGTTCCATTGTGGTTGCATTAGAAGTCGAGTTCCGGATGACACAGCATTATTTGTAGTATACGATGCTTATTTCGAAAACTTTCTTTTTTTAATTATAACTTAAATCACAGTTTTAAAAAGAAATGTAAGTTCAATAATTAAAAGAGTGTTATAATTATAATTCAAGCTCATTATTACTGTAATTGTGCCATATATGAGACAGCTTCATCAAATCATGTTGGTGACTGTAAATATAAGACTTATTTGTTAGCATTTACAAATATTTTATTAGGTGCATTTTCATTGTGTGAGTGCAGATTCGTCCGGATTGAAAATGTCCCCAGATTGCAATCCTAATGACTCTAAGGGCTTGCCTATTAATACTTAGGTCGTAATAGCGTACTTCTACCTTAAAGGTCTTCTTTGTAATGTGACACTCTTGGTGTTGCAGCTGATCAATGGGCATCACTTCCCATCAGGTATGCCGTCTGCTCATATATCGTCTCCCTATATCCATATGTTAAGTGTAAGCGGAGTCAAGTCACGAAGATAGATGATGCGGCAGAAGTTGTGCGTTCCAGCCATTCTCACCTTGCCGGCCTGAACCCAGTTCTCTACCCCGTGGAGCCCTGGAACCTTACCGACAGAAACACAACACCACCAAAAGGTAGTGTTATTTTACTGTGGACTACTGAAAGGTGGAGGTAACTAACCCAGACGGGAGTTCCGTTCGAGAGGGAAATCCGCTATGCCATATCTCTCAAATCCGCTATGCCATATCTCTCAAATCCGCTATGCCACACCTCTCAAATCCGCTATGCCATACCTCTCAAATCCGCTATGCCATACCTCTCAAATCTTCTGTAAGGTGGCGGTTGCTTTTCTATCTCTCTTTAAAAAATGTATATAGATGGCTTTAGCATAAGCTTAAGAGATACCTCTTTTACAGGTAGGGCATAGCGGCTTTTCCGCTCGAATTAAAGCCCCGGCCTGGGGAAGTAACCTCCACATTAGAGAAGAGCACAGTAAAATAACACTACGGTTTAGTGATGTTGAATGAATGAATGAATGAACACTTTATTGTACACCAAGAAAATTCAAATTACAATTAATTAAAACTATTACATAATAGTACAAACGGCGGCCTTATCGCTAAAAAGCAATTTCTTCCAGGCAACCGTATGTTAACTGGACGGTTACATAGACAGTGGGAAGTAGATGGTGTCATTGTGTGAAACAACCATTAATACTTATTAATAATTATGTTGGTACAAAAAAAAAATGGTTGCCTGTAAAGTCGGTTTTACGGGCGAAGATTTTACGTGACAACGTCTTTTTCTCGGTAGAATATTTATTGATATGAATATAATTAAATTGCACAATAGGAACAAGGAATTGAATGAAAATAAGAATTGCACAAATTTTAACTATAGAAATATATTTTGTTTACTAAAACATTGTACATGTAAACTTAAACTTAACACGAGAGACTCATCGTAACGTTACCGAGCGTTACACTTTTTCATAAGTGACTCCCAGCCGCAACCTAATTTAAGACGTTGTCACGTCAAAAACATTAACATTATATATATATAAACACACCAACACTTTAATCATACTTTGGATGATGCGACGACTTGCTAAAGTGTCAAGTAATGTTCTTTTAATATTTTTTTAAAACAAGCTAATGTTTTAGCACGTCTGATTGTTTCTGGCAAGGCATTCCACAAACGAGCTGCCTGAACTATGATGAACTAAATATATACTAACTAAATATATAAACAAAACATAGCGTAACTAGCTTATTCCTCGTTAATAAGGGGGTGAAAGTTTAAAAGTTGTTGATACAAACGTTACTTTTTTTACAGTGCTTTAGACGAACTAGATAAGTTAAACAGAAGACTATTAGCATAGCCATATTTTGATGGCAACACAGTTAAGACATGTATTATATCTAAATTATATTAGTATTGAAAATGTATAAAGCATATCATTAAATTATTATATCTATTTCTTATCGACTTTTTGAGAGACGATTTTTTTTGTTAAGACGGAAAGGAAAGGTTAATTAAGATGGACCGTGACATTTGAGGCAAAAAAGAACTGGTAAAATATGAGCGAGAAGCTTTTCGCTAAAATTTTCTCAGAGATAAATCTAATTTTTATAACGTGACATAAAATTTTCGCTTAATGTGAAACAAAAAAGGGGTTTTTGTGGATAATAACACCGCACCGTGATGTTACGATTGCACTACTTCCAAGCTAAACACATATTCACCCCTGGGATGTATGTGCGGCCGTGAAATCAAAAAGTTATCCGGCCGATTTTCCTCTAATTATTCGAGTTTTACTGTACA